TTAAAATTTTAAGTTGATTGAACTGGAAAAAGTGAGTTAATACAATGAAGTAGATTAATTTAACCATCAGAAACTCAAAATTATATGTTATCTGAACTAAATAAATTATTTAAGTTGATTTGACAAAAGAAAAAAAATGTTGTGATTACAACACTGTAAAAAAATATTGTTGGTTTAACTTAAAAAAGTAAGTAACCTGGTTGCCTTAAAATTTTAAGTTGATTGAACTGGAAAAAGTGAGTTAATACAATGAAGTAGATTAATTTAACGATCAGAAACTCAAAATAATAAGTTATCGTAACTAAATTAATTATTATAAAGTTGATTTGACAAAAGAAAATATGTTGTGTTAACAAATCTTGAAAATATTTTTTACAGTGTTTAGCGAGATGGTCCTCACTGCAGAACATGAAATCCACGGGGAGGAGTCGGATCCAGATCCAGCTACTCCCACCTTAACCTACCCAACTCTACCCCTCAGATCTGGATCTGACTCCGCCCCCTGGATCTCGTGTACTGCAATAAGGTGCTACTGCCTTTAGCGCTGTTTGGGCCTCTTGATGTACCGTAGCGTTGGCTACATGAGAAGTGCGTCATCTTTTCCTCAGTTCATGTTGTCAACGTTATAGGTTAGCCATGTTAATGATAGTGGGGAAAAGCCTCAAATATATTTGTCGTTATCACACTTAAGTTCTGTGTGTTGGGATATTTTGTGTTTTAAACTGCTAAAGACCCAAATTCAGACAGAATCACGAGACTCACAGATATCCTTCCCGTCCAGATCCAATATAGCTACCATAACTTTACTATATTTGAAATTAGCATTATAAAATACGTAGACCTATACCACAAAACTAGTTGAGGATACATGATTTAAAATTGGGCAATTCCAGCGTTACAGACGTGACACCAGTCAAAACCTGAAATATGAATTCTCAGAAAATGCATTTAATATAGGCTATTGAAACTTCTGTTTATATATCATACTCCATTAATAAAGGAGTCCAGACATTAGAAAAATATAACACATGCATTGTATATCTAATATGAGGGAAATACACATGCGGGACATAAATCTTTAACTTTTAGGTGAAAAATATTTTTTAGTAATTCTGTGAAATGTGTGAATTACACTGCGCAAACTATACTACCCACCGGATGAAGAAGGGTTGGCTCTCCACAGAACATAAAATATTAATTTTATTTTATTTTTCATGTTCGTATTTAGGAAAAATGTTACGGACGTGACAATTCCCTGAAAGCGGCACTAAAAGACTGCTTTAAAACTTTCACAGAGACCTTAAACAGAAAGCACTGAGCCTTTATTTAAAGTTTATTCCGTTTTGTATTAATTATATCTAAATTTGAATCAATGTTTCATCATCAAACGTGGATTTAATAAATAATAAGTAAATATAGCAGACAATAATCAAGACACGGAGCCTGAACTGCAGCTCATCTCATAAATGAACTTTAACTCAGTGTCTACTTGCCTCATAGACCGGAGAAATTTAGGCTATATATATTATAGCATATTATATCATATATACTATGAAATGTTTACTGTGTGTCATTCATGTTCTGAATATGTTACTTCACAGTAGCTTTCACTTAACCCTCCTGTTACCCTCAAATCTGATAACACTTTTTACCCTCTGGGGTCAATTTGACCCCAGTAATTTAAACCTCTACAATATGTTTATTTTTTTTTACAAAGGTTTGTCTCAGTTAATTTATGTCTTTGTTGACTACTTAAGTAACGTTAAAAAGTTGACATCCACCCACCACCGCCCTCCCCTCCCCACCCCACCTAACCCCTTATAGTTATACATCCAGAATACCCATTGCACGACTATGGCCAAATTTACAAATCAACATAAAATCTTACTGATTTGACCTAAAATTGGAAAAGTATAATACATCTGGTGTTTTATTTGTTTTATAATATTTCTAAGTATAGATTTATGTAATCTATGACATTTGGAAAGAAAGACTATTTATTATATCAAGGATAGTAACACGAGTTATGTTTGGGGTCAATCTCACAAAAAATATGTTTTCTCCTTCCCCATGGCACGGGAAACATCAAATTTCTCACAAAAATGATGTTTTACCCTCCCAAATACACAGGAAAGAATTATTAGTTTTCTTGAGAAATTATGTCACATGTCATGTGAACTACTAGTAATTCTCGCAATACTACAGATGGTTATGTTTGGTTTTTTGAAAATGATATTGAATATGTAAAAATACAATGAACATTATAAATTCAAATTATAACATGTTATAATGACCTCAATATAACAACCAAAACAAATGTATGTGAAATTTTAATATTTCTTCTGTTTTATTATACATTTAAAAGAGCCTGCGATCAAATTGACCCCAAGGAACACCGATGTAACAAAATTTGTACAGGACTTTGAAAAAATATTAGCAGGTTAATTTTATGTTTACTAGTTAATTTTATGTTTAGTTGTCCCCATTAAATTAGGAAAAGTCATTAAATTTGAAGCAAAAAAATAAATAAAATTATGTTTTTACAGACGTTAAACATTGAATGGGGTCAAATTGACCCCAAGGATAATAGGAGGGTTAAAATCTTTAGTCTAAGATTGTTGGAGACTAAAATGTGCCACTGAATAGTCGGGTTATATGTACAACCACGAACAGCACATGAGCTCGTAACGACATCTCTCACAAAGCCGCCTGACCGGAAGTTGCTCCTATTTTATTTTGTACAGTAGCGCCCCCCGGAAACAGGTGGATAGATTCCACTATCAAGTCTCCTGCAAAAGCAATCGACAGCGCAATAATTTAAAAAGACAAACAGAGAACTGTAAATCAAGGCATTTGTCGATCGGAAAGATGTGTTTGCCATCCTTTCTACGGGATTCAGCAACAGTTTAATTTATCAGCTGGCTCCGATGGTCGCTAAGAAGATGGGATGCAATGAAACCCTGTGGTCGTTGTGGTTTCTCCTTTGGTCGCACTCATGGAAGACCAAGTAAAAGAAGCAACACTCATTATTTTACCATTTATTCCAGCGTGCGTGCAGTTCTGTTGTCAACATACGTCACTTACTGCGTTGCTCTGATTGGTTGTAGGTCTATCCAATCGAGTGCAGAATTTATTTATTTTTTCCTGGTTCGGTTAAGACACGCCTCATAATCAAAGCCCTATAGAGCAGTGTCAGACTCACATTAGGCTTGTTTGAGATGAGCAAAATCTGTGCAGAACCAGAGCCCGTCTAACGGAGAGCCTTGGCACTTCCTATTAGCCCCGTTGTGCATCATCTTGGTTGCAGTTCCGTTAGAATTCCACTGGAGGTGATCACGGGCGAGTGCAGAATGAATGGGAGTCTATGGGGCTAAACGGCTAAATGTGTCTCTTTCACCTGCTTGTTGTTAAATCAAAATAGATTTTATTGTTGATTCTGAAAGTTCAATATAGATTATAGGCCAAAAGTCGAATGAACGAGTACTTATGTCCTTTTGATTTCTTACAGGTTAGGCTGTTGTTAGCCAGAACACGCTAGCATTCTGCTATTGTGTGACAGATTGTGTGACTGCTATTTTTAGAACAGATAAGTGAATGTGCTTGTTATTTGATACATATTCAATAAATAAAAAAATAATAAAAAAGAACAGATAAGTGAACTTAAAAATGCAATTTTCAGCTGAGTGTATTATCTTAGCCCTCCCTTTTGAATGCAACTTTAAAATTACTTGACAAAAAATTACATCCTGAGAAAAGTGGATTTTTGGGGGTGAAACCCCATTGACCCCCATTCATTCTGCACTCGACCGAGAGTGCCCCCACATGGACAGAGATGTGTTACTGCAGCCAGTCCAGAACCCGGAAGTAACCAGCCAGTGCCAATTCTCTTCAATTAGACATTCTCTGGCAGAACCGATCACCGGTGATCAGCGCGAGATGCATGCCAGTTAGAAATGTGTCCGAGTGCGGTCCGCTTGACTCTGATGTCATGCCGTCAACCCCTCACACCCGGGTCCTACTCGCCCCGCTCCAAGCGGGCCTCGAACCCGGGTCTCCGGCGTGAGAGTCGGGCGCTCTAGCAAGGAGGCTAAAGACTGCAGCCTCTAGCGTCTGTCGCTAGAGCGCCTATTGAGATCGGGGAGTGAGGTTTACTCGCACAGCAACTACTAGCTGGCCTCCGTTACACTCACCCCCCTAAACCTCACTCTCATCCGGGTCACGGCACCAATGTAACCCCTCCACCCGGGTCCTACTCGCCCCGCTTCAAGCGGGCCTCGAACCCGGGTCTCCGGCGTGAGAGTCGGGCGCTCTAACAAGGAGGCGTCTAGCGTCTGTCGCTAGAGCGCCTATTGAGATCAGGGGAGTGAGGTTTACTTGCACAGCAACTACTAGCTGGCCTCCGTTACACTGACGTATGTCAAAAACTCTCGCGAGCTCAAGGCGGTAGTGTCGGATTCTGCAGTCTCCACCGACTGCGCTGATCAAAAGCACGATGCGAAACGACTTGCTGACGACACAGCTTAATGCTCATTGGTTTAAACAACCGTGATGTATTTTTCTCTTTTAAAATTTTTGATTTTATCTTATATCATGTTTTATGTGTATAAGTTATGTGCGGATATTCCCAAACTCTCTGACAGTGCGATCTATGTAATGTAATTTTTATTTATTTATTTTTTTTTTGTACAATTCGCACTGAGACATTTTAAATAATACTAAAGACATGTATAAAACTTTATGATAGTTGTTCAAATTAAAGCCATATATATTCTTCTTGTGTGAGTGTGGGTGATATGTGCAAGAGTTGGGGGATGCGGGAAAGGAGTGTGTGTGTGTGAGAGAGGTGTTCAAATTGCCAAAGTCCTTCGTCTCATAGACCAGTGGTGAGGTTGATCTCTTCAACCAATTCTTCCAGTTTTACAAGTTCAGTCTGAACATTGTCTCGATTATATGTATACTGTATCAGAGAGAGTTTATGAGGACAATGATGTTGAACTCACCCTTCACAGAGAGAGAAACAGCAGAGCTTGATGTTGATGAGTTTGGTCTTCCATCTCTCTGTCCTTTACACCAGTACTGACCCTGATCAGACTCAGTAGCTCTTCTGATAGTGACAGTGTCTCTGTCTACAGTGTAACGATCAGACGTCTGTAACTTTACACTGTCTTTATACCACTCATATCTCCAGTTACTGTGATCAGAGTTTATCACACACTTCAGATTGACTGTTTCTCCAGTGAATACAGGACCGTCTGGTGTCACAGTCACTGTAGATGTGGGTAAACCTGAGAACAAACACAGAAACACAAACTGACTCAAACATCTCTTTCAGTTCATTGTAACAGAATTATATTTTATAAATGTTTCGAGGATGTTGAAGATGATGAATGTGTTCAATGATGAAGTGTTATTGCAGCAACAGTGACAAAGTGCATTAAAGCTCCTGCGTTCATCAGAGTCAGAATAAACCCAGAATAATCTCTACTCAAACATTATATACTGTATTACATTCTTCCTCCAGCTCTACATGTAAATGAAGTTTAGTCTTAAAAGTAAATTGAGGATAACAATGAAAGTAAAGCCTTCCGTTCCCACATCTTTAATATTGTTTGAGACGGGACTCCATGTGTCCTTCATGTATCTTCTGAACACAGGATTATTCTTGACGTCCCGCTGCCGTTTCACACTAGAAGTGATCGAGTTTCACTCCGCTGACATTTACATATTACTGACATCAGGAGGAATCGTCTCGATGATAATTAAGATCTTTTAGAGAAGAAACATATTCTAATATATTCTAATATTGATGTTGAAGCTGATTCGGGCAGACTAACATGATGAGTCATGATGATTTTGTCTCATATTTCATAGTATTAGTTGTGTTTTGTTGCTGTTCTGTCATTAGTTTTATCATGTCAGTTGTTTTGAGGCTCTGACTCGCCACAGAAAGCAGAATGAAGCTCCTGAAGGAGAGATGAAGATCTCCAACTAAAGCTCATATGAGGAGATACTGAGTCTGAATCAACTTCATCAGAATATCTGAAGACTTCATCAACTCATTTCACATCAGTGTCTGTAAGTCACGTCATTCTCTCGGACAAATCTCATCTTTTCTATTATTAAATATCTCCTGTAACCAAACTAAAAGTGACTAAAGTAGATCTCAAAGATGGAGACGTCTTTAACACTGGAAAGTCACAATTGACATGATTTTATAAAAGTATCCTGATAAAAATGTGCAACACACACACACACACACACACACGCACACACACACGACAAACATGACATGCACTTCATCTGAAGACAATCATGACTAAAAGTGAATTGCTTATAAGAACAGACGTGGCTGATACAGAAGATCATAAGTGTTGAAATATGGATATTAAATGATGATTAAACAGATGTGAATATGAAGACTCACCTGATACAGTCAGTGTAACTCCATCACTGAAGTCTGTGTATGAGTCTGATCTCTCTCCTCTACAACTGTATTCACCACTGCGAGACACATCAGCTGTGAAACTGTAATCTGCTGTTGTTGTATATGGATAGTCAGTGTTTCCATCTTTAATCCAGCTGTATCTCCACTGAATGTTTCCTCCTCCCTGTATGTCACATGTGAGAGTGACTCTCTCTCCACTGAACACAGGCTGATCTGGCTTCACATTCACTACAGGTTTTCCTGTATTAATACACATATGAGTAAATATTGATTAAAACAGAATCACAGTATCATGATCAATGTTAGAGTTTATGAACTCAAAACCTCCTTATGAGACAAACACTGTATTAAAAATGAAATATCTAGTTTGTTGGAAGTTTGTATTGATTACATAAATTTTTTTATTTATTGATAGACTACACTCTAAAAAATGCTGGGTTGTTTTAACCCAATTTTGGGTCAAATATGGACAAACCCGAAATGTTGGGTTAAAAATGTAATGTAAAAATTTAACCCAACGGCTGGGTTAGTCCATATTTGACCCAAAGTTGGGTTAAAACAACCCAGCATTTTTTAGAGTGTATATACAGATAAACTTTGTATAAACTAAAAGACTGGGTATAGAATGCCACACATGTAAACTGAGTCTATAATACGTATTACTTATACTTTTATTTTCTATTTACATGTCACAGAATTACAGCTTGTGCAATATTTATAAATCTTATATAATTTAAGAGTGTAAAAATATTACTGACTTAAACATGCAATGTGATGAGGTCATGAGCCAAAGTAGCATAATACAGTTCAATAATATACTGTTGTAAAAACTGCTGGGTTAGAAACAACCCAGTTTGGCAGCAGATTAGGCTAAATGTTTTTTTAACTTAATTATTGGAGTAAAATTCCTACATTTCTGGATTAAGATTAACCCAAAATAATTTGAAAATAAAACCAGGAATCTTGGATATTATTAAATCACTTTACACACACAGAATGACTATCAGAAGGTACAATTTGATTAAAAATGAGAATAAGGACAAACATAGTCAAAAGTAACAGTGTGCATGCGGGAAGAAGAGCAGAAAAAAATGACAAATCAGATACACAGTTTAGTTATTAATCCGTCTGTCAGTACGAAAAAAAATCGAACGCAAACATTTATGCACAAATGTATGTAACAAAGGAAGCCCATTTGTGTGTTAAACGAGAAGGACATTGTGAATATGATCCCACTGTGAGATTAGCTGGACTGATGATTGTTGATGATCTCCCGGTGCTATTCATATTGGAATTGTGTAATCACAGATTATGAACAGATGTTTTACACAACAAGGATATATTCCCACTGGGTTGTTGGGTTTTCAAGTTTTATGCAGGAACTTTAGACAATGATTTAAATACAGTATTTTTATACAGTGTTATCCCCTATTTCTAATGTAACCGAAGGTCGTCTACAGACATCTCATGTTACGGACATATTTTATAATGGTACTGTTACGTTTAGTATTGATTTTTTATTTCCACTTCCCTTTTATCCAAAAAGACTGAACTATTTGCACAGTATTTATCAATGTGAAATACATCATGCTAAAATAATCTGTCATATGTAGGCGTATGTGGCTCACATTAATGGAGTTACGTGACCAGCAACATATTTCTGCTTCAAATATTGTGCGTAGTTAACAGTGAGTGGTGGTTTCAGACATTATTTTATTAAAGTGCATTTGTCAATGCCGCATTCGTGACTCTTATTCGCCTGACAGAAAGAAAAGCTTGAGCGGTTTGACCAATCAGATGAAAGGGGCGTTTCAGCGTAAATGAAATATCAAACCCATAAATCGATTTGTAAACCACAAACGAAAAATCAAGCCAAAATCATTTTTTTCTTTTTTTTAAACTCAACAAAGAAACAAATAAACAAGCTGGTTTTCATTTCTCGTTATTCCATTCCAAACAGGAAATCAAATGGCCAAAAGATACACGGACGGACCACACACACAAGTTACGAATTCCCTTTCGCTGTTTCACTTCCAGCTCTTGAATATTTACATTGGAAAGGCTGAAACTTTCGTGATGATGAAGCGCTGACACGTCAACTGTACAGAGTGTCATTCGCTGTTGTTCACTTTGTGTAGAAACTGGCCGACTGACACCGTTCACACACTCGCTGATTTTTACTCACATTTGGCTTATGATGAGTGTTAATTATAGGCCCTGTTTACTGAATTTAATAAGACAGTAGTTCAGTCTGAACATTGTCTCGATTATATATACTGTATCAGAGAGAGTTTATGATGTGTAACTCACCCTTCACAGAGAGATAAACAGCAGAGCTTGATGTTGATGAGTTTGGTCTTCCATCTCTCTGTCCTTTACACCCGTACTGACCCTGATCAGACCCAGTAGCTCCACTGATAGTGACAGTGTCTCTGTTTACAGTGTAACGATAATCTGACTTCTGTAACTTTACACTGTCTTTATACCACTCATATCTCCAGTCACTGTAATAAGGTTTTATCACACACTTCAGATTGACTGTTTCTCCAGTGAATACAGGACCGGCTGGTGTCACAGTCACTGTAGATGTGGGTAAATCTGAGAAGAAACACAGAAACACAAACTGACTCAAACATCTCTTTCAGTTCATTGTAACAGAATTATATTTTATAAATGTTTCGAGGATGTTGAAGATCTCAATGATGAAGTGTTATTGCAGCAACAGTGACGAAGTGCATTAAAGCTCCTGCGTTCATCAGAGTCAGAATAAACCCAGAATAATCTCTGCTCAAACATTATATACTGTATTACATTCTTCCTCCAGCTCTACATGTAAATGAAGTTTAGTCTTAAGAGTAAATTGAGGATAACAATGAAAGTAAAGCCTTCCGTTCCCACATCATTGATATTGTTTGAGACGGGACTCCATGTGTCCTTCATGTATCTTCTGAACACAGGATTATTCTTGACGTCCCGCTGCCGTTTCACACTAGAAGTGATCGAGTTTCACTCCGTTGATATTTACATATTACTGACATCAGGAGGAATCATCTCTATATTCTAATATTGATGTTGAAGCTGATTCAGGAAGACTAACATGATGAGTCATGATGATTTTGTCTCATATTTCATAGTATTAGTTGTGTTTTGTTGCTGTTCTGTCATTAGTTTTATCATGTCAGTTGTTTTGAGGCTCTGACTCGCCACAGAAAGCAGAATGAAGCTCCTGAAGGAGAGATGAAGATCTCCAACTAAAGCTCATATGAGGAGATACTGAGACTGAATCAACTTCATCAGAATATCTGAAGACTTCATCAACTCATTTCACATCAGTGTCTGTAAGTCACGTCATTCTCTCGGACAAATCTCATCTTTTCTATTATTAAATATCTCCTGTTACCAAACTAACAGTGACTAAAGTAAATCTCAAAGATGGAGACGTCTTTAACACTGGAAAATCACAATTTACATGAAGTTTTAAAAAAAAAATATCCAGATAAAAATGTGCAACACATCAACACTTCAACACAATCATGACTAAAAGTGAATTTCTTATAAGAACAGATGTGGCTGATACAGAAGATCATAAGTGTTGAAATATGGATATTATATGATGATTAAACAGATGTGAATATGAAGACTCACCTGATACAGTCAGTGTAACTCCATCACTCTCTGTGTTTGAGTCTGATCTCTCTCCTCTACAACTGTATTTACCACTGCGAGACGCATCAGCTGAGAAACTGTAATCTGGTGTTGTTGTTGTTGTATATTGATAGTCAGTGTTTCCATCTTTAATCCAGCTGTATCTCCACTGAATGTTTCCTCCTCCCTTTATGCCACATGTGAGAGTGACTCTCTCTCCTCTGAACACAGGCTGATCTGGCTTCACCGTCACTACAGGTTTTCCTGTATTAATACACAAATGAGTAAATATTGATTAAAACAGAATCACAGTATCATGATCCATGTTATGATAATAATAAACTTTACATTCTATAGTGCCTTTAAAAGCTACATCTCAAAGCGATTCACAAAATTAAGAAAATATAAAAGAGTAATACAACAATATAAAGAAAATCATTTATAAAAGAGAAGTGCATTCAAATATACAATACAAATATAACATGTTATGAAAAGAGTTCCATGAGAAAATGGTACAGAAAAAAAAAATAAAGAAATGAAATAAAATCTACCCTAAAAAAAGTCTGTTTTGAGGAAAGCTTTAAAACACTCAGAGAGTCCCATAGTTTTGGAGCAAATGAAGAGGAAGCCCCATCGCCCATCGATCCTAAACGAGTTGGCGGGACAGTTAAAAGACCAGCTTCAGTGGAGCAGAGATCACGAGTTTGTGATGTATGGATTAAATGTTCTGACAAATATTGAGGAGTCAGGCCATGGAAACCCATATAAGTATATGCATGATCATTTTAAAATCAACATGAAACCTACAGGTAGCCAGTGCGAGGACTACAATGCCTCCCAGGATGTGTGTTTATCATAGCAGAAGCAGAACAAAATAATGATTCACAAAAATAAAGTGCAGATGGTGAACGAATGACAAGGCTGAATAAAATGAATGTAATGTTTACACTATACACTTACCCCACCTATAAATAATTTATTGGTTTCAACTTTATAATTCTATTATATAGTGCATCAACTTAATCAAGCAAAAGGTATTAAACTCCAAAATTTAAACTTACAATCTTAAATTGTTTGAGAACTACATGACAATTATATAACTTGCAAAAAATATACATTCAAAAAATATAGAGATAATAAGAGTTTTAATAACTCTTTATCACAAGTTAACAAACAAAAATGTATCAACACAATTAAACCACAACAATAACTATAACACTGCATAAGTTATTGAAATTTATGTCCAAGCCTGTATCTCAATACTAGTTCGATCTCAGCGCTGCGTTCGACCACTGAAGGTAAATGAGTAGCTAAACTCGAGAGCACGTAGATGTGAATTTGAGAACTATGGGCGTAGGAGCCATTATACGTGATCTCAAAATCTAAGTTGATGGTCGATCGACCATGATCGCGGCGTGACACGGATAAATGTACGCATCAATATGTTCCTGGGAGATCTGTAGTTGCACGGGATGTGGAAGCGCGCAAAAGTTCTAAAAATGTACAAAAAAGTGCCCTGGCCTTGAATGACAATGTAAGTAAAATAAGACTAAACCAAAATTAAGACTTGGACAGACTTGGTTGGTATTTTTCTCAGGAGATGTTTTAAGCATTTTACTTCAGACACCGGATTATCAGCAAACTGCCAAGAGAGCTGCTAGCTGGCTAAACTAGCAATCTATTCAGTCAGCATTTGTGTTTGATCTGTGTGAAAAACTTGAAATATAATTGCTAGACCTACTTTTAGCTACCAAGCAACCTTTCCACAAGGGATAGATTGATTATATTTTTTAGTATTTTATAGTAAATGGAAATCAAATCAACCATTTATTTGAGTTAATCAGTACATGACTGCATTGTTGTATCAACATGTATTAGGGCATTTAGCATTTACATTACTGTTAATCAAAGTATATGTTCTTAACCTTGCAGTTTTTCACATATCATGTAAGACTCAATTTCTCCATTTTTTTTTTTTTTTTTTTTTTTTTTTTTGCACAAAACTCTCTAGAAAGTGTCATTTAATGGTTTATTTTTCAAAAAATGCATACCCCCGGACCCCCTTAGCATTGACTGTCCCCCCCAGGTTCAGAATTGCTCCTACGCCCCTGGAACTTGTACAATAAATATTCGTACGTGAACGCAAACATTTACACTCACAGCTCCGATTTGAAAACCTGTAAAGTAAAAATCTGAACTTGAACGCTGAGATTTGCACTCACAGACAACAGTCACAAAACTGTATTCTGAATCTGAAGCTGCAGACAAGCAGTCACAAATGTGAAAAATATATTTGCACTTCTAACATTCAAATTCGCAGTACAACTTCAAATTGGCACTTGCAACTAGTGATGTGACGTTCGGCACCGAGGCTTCGAAGCTTCTATCAAAAAAACGAAACTCTCACGTGAAGCACTGTACCAGAGCTTGATTCGTTTTGCCATAACCATGTGATCAGTGACGTCCGAAGCTTCATTTCAACACACAACCACGTGACTGCTTCATATTCTGATTTAAAAATAGCACAAGCCCCTTGCGCAGGTTTCAAGTGTCATGCGCTTCGGTAGTGAATGGGCCAAGGGGGTAATCCATCGACCGGAAGTTGAAGCCTGAGCTGCCATCTTGTAGCAGAACTTCACTTGCGTTAGCATTCCCATTGACTCCCATTCATTTTGGCGTCACTTATTTGCAACCCAGCATTCTTACCCAACAGTCTCAACCCAGCGAATGGGTTGAAAAAATTGCCCTGCATCTTTTAGAGTATAAAGTATTTTGTTGCAAATATATTAATGATGATAGTAGATAGAATACAGTATATAAAGAGTTCGGTCTGAACATTGTCTCGATTATATTTACTGTATCAGAGAGAGTTTAAGAGGACAATGATGTTGAACTCACCCTTCACAGAGAGAGAAACAGCAGAGCTTGATGTTGATGAGTTTGGTCTTCCATCTCTCTGTCCTTTACACCAGTACTGACCCTGATCAGACCCAGTAGCTCCTCTGATAGTGACAGTGTCTCTGTTTACAGTGTAACGATCATATGTCTGTAATAGTACACTGCCTTTGCCTCTTACTTTATACCACCACTCATATGTCCAGTCACTGTAATAATTTATCCCACACTTCAGATTGACTGTTTCTCCAGTGAATACAGGACCGGCTGGTGTCACAGTCACTGTAGATGTGGGTAAATCTGAGAAGAAACACAGAAACACAAACTGACTCAAACATCTCTTTCAGGTGCAATTTGAAAGAATTACATTTTGTAAATGTTTTGAGGACATTGAAGATCTCAATTAAGTTTTATATATTATAACATCATTGCATTAAACATGCAATGTCATGAGGTCATGTGATAACGTTAAATAATATATCGGTGTATAATGTGTTCTGATGCACATGGGTGATAGTAGATCTAATACATATATAATACAAAGCTGACAGGAGATCTGAGGACCCAGTGCAGAAAAAGCAAGGGGTGTCATTTATTGACAACAAGTACAAGATATGTGAGGTATAAATACAGTCTACACGATAGGGCAGGGAACGCAACTGGAGAACAGGTCGAAGCTGAGACAGAAAGACATGACAGCCAAAGATGGAGACACAGCAGCGGCTCAGGGAATCAGAGCATGACAGATGGAGATGAGACTGGACGTAACAACAGACCAGGAGAATCATCGACCAACACCAGACAAGACTGAACCGGCCAACACAACAAATAAAAGCAAAATAAAACTGATGATGAGACTGGAGAAAAATAAAGACAGGCCTATACTATAATAACAGGATCCAGCAAAATAAATAAAAGATCTAGACATAAATAACTGCAACTTGGATAAATAAAGAAAACCTTGGGAATTAGAGAGAAATTAAATAAAACATTAGTTAATAATAAAAATAAAAATAAAAAATAAAACTTGTAAGAACTATCAAGATAGAGACTCGACTTAGACTTTAGTGATGCTACATATGACACTGAAGCTTTAAAGCGTGTATCGAGTTCGCAGTGAAATTACTCATTTTGGTTTGTGTCGGAGTGCGTATTGTTTTCAGAGAAACACGTGATCAATGAAACACGAAGCCTCACTTTCTGTCCAGTTGCGTGAATGCTTCACATAGTTTGTGTGTCGGAACATTTGAACCCATACCAGAGAATGTCTAATTGAAGAGAATTGGCACTGGCTGGTTACTTCCGGTTTCTGGACTGGCTGCAGTAACGCGTCTCTGTCCATGCGGGGGCGCTCGCGGTCGAGTGCAGAATGAATGGGAGTCAATGGGGTTTCACCCCCAGAAATCCAATTTTTTGTCAAGTAATTTGAAAGTTGCATTCAAAAGGGAGGGCTAAGAAAATACACTCAGCTGAAAATTGCATTTTTAAGTTCACTTATCTGTTCTAAAAATCCGTTCAAAAATGTGATGACGTCTCACAATAGCAGAATGCTAGCGTGTTCTGGCCAACAACGGCCTAACCTGTAAGAAATCGAAAGGACATAAGTACTCATTCATTCGACTTTTGGCCTATAATTTATATTGAACTTGCGGAATCAATAATAAAATCTATTTTGATTTAACGACAAGCAGGTAAAAGAGACACATTTAGCCGTTTAGCCCCATTGACTCCCATTCATTCTGCTCTCGCCCGTGATCACCTCCAGTGGAATTCTAATGGAACTGCAACCAAGATGACACACAACGGGGCTAATAGGAAGTGCCAAGGCTCTACGTTAGACGGGCTCTGCCCAGACCACGACAGGGTTTCGGAAGTTTAAGTCAATTTTCAATTTTCAATTTTTTATTATTTCATTTTATTTTTTTTATTTTTTTTTTTTATCTAAATATGCCTATAGCCCATGTTACATGATCATATATCCTTTCATATTATAAACAGCATAGAGACCATAAAATAATAAGAGCACCATTTACTTGCATCAAGCAACTGTTGGTATTTTTACAGTTAGTATTAATTGTTACATTTAATTTATTGCCACACTTTAATATGTGAATTATATTATCAGAAAACTGAACATTTAGTTAAAACAACAGCGACGCGCACTCAGGTTTGTGGCTGCTATACATTTGTCCTGCCACAAGACGGCGCTGTTTCAACACTATTGATGCTTCACATCTTTTCCTGGAACAAGCAGGGGAAAGCCTCTGTGCTTCATAAGGCTTCATTTGTCCTTCCTTACGAGACTTAAAATCAGGAACAAAGAAAAAAACTGGATACAAATCTAATCAAAACAAAACAAACACAAAGCT